TGTAGCACTCTCTTCCCATGGGTAGTCAATGACGATACAAAATAATGATCTAGGCTGTTGTTTCTCAGCTGGTGGTTTGTGATCCACGGGGCCTCAGGAAAGGCAGTCAGGAGGCTGTGAGATGTTGAGCATTTCATTATGATCTAAAGCAAAGAAAAACTCACTCCTGCACTCCCCTGTTCATTGTGGTCCAGTTTTCTCTGTCAGCCTCTTGAAATATACAAGTTATATATAGACTGAGCACGGATACATGTTGTATTCTTACTTCTTTAGTAAATATTCGGGGGTCAGAAAAAAAATTGACTTCCAATAAGTGGTACTTGCTTACTTATTTCAGCTGTGAAATTAGGCAGTTTGCAGCTGTGCACAGTAACCCTTTCATTGTCTGTATCACAGTCAGCGAGACTGAAACCCCTTCGGTGGTTAGTAGAGATGGGGATGAGGCAGAAAGTTTGGATCCAAACTGGCATTCAGTGCTGTCAGCAATCACAGGAGAGCAAAGGAACCCAGGGATCGTTGGTCACTAAGTCTCCCGGTGAGAGGGTGAAAGAGAAGACAGAAAACGAAGGAGAAATAAGTGTGGGGTGGGAAGGTCACAAGCTCCCAAACCTGCCCACATCCATTCATAGAGTCATAAAGTCTAAGGCCAGAAGGTACCATTGGATCATCTGGTCTGATATCCTGTCTAGCATTGGCTGTAAACACCACCCAGCACCCACCCACTAAACCCAACAGCTGGAGTGAGACCAAAATCTTGCAGCCCAGTGGAGACTAGGAGGGGTTGAGTCTGGGCTGTGATCAAGTGATGGAATATTTTCCCAGCATGCGAGTCAGAAACATCTTGTGCAGGGAAAGGGCCAGGGCAAATCATGATGTGACAGTAACTAAACATCCTTCTGGAATCTTTCCTGTCACCCTTCTCACCCTGACAGGTGGAAGAGTAATGCCCACCTTTGGCTCCGGATTGTCCCAGCCTCCCACGGGACAGGGAAAGGAAATGGCTGTAATGGAGCCACTCCAGGTAGGGATTATTGCAGGATTGCTAGTGGCTTCCTCCTGGAGGGAGAGGGGCAGGAAATACTGAGGGCCTGGAATCTTTGGGGGAGTTTAGTCTGGAGGTGGGAGGGGGGCAGGAAATACCCAGGGTGGAGAAAGGGAGGGGGACAAGGCATGTGACAAACTTGCTGGGAATTGTTTAACCCAAGTCCTGGATTCCGGGAACAGACCCATGGGGTTTGGGTGAGGAAATTACCCTATTTGTGGGTGGGGGAACCCTGGACAGCGTTGGGAAAACGTATCCGCTTCTCAGTGCAAGAACATAAACCTACTCGCTAGAGGCTGCTATGAGATATAAAGGGGCGGAAGGGTTACTCACCAGTGGGGCGTAGAGTAGCTTGTAGGTGTGTGATGAATGAGAAGACCCTTCCCCCTCTGTCTGCTGGGGGGGACTAGGGGATCTCTATCTCCCCTGCTTGCCGGCTGCTCTGAGGGTGGGACTCTGCCGATTGTGAGCCTGCCAGAGCTTCCATTTGATTGACTCCTCTCCCTCCATGAATAGTGGGGCTGTGAGTGGGGCAGCAGGTACTGAGTGCTGGACACTTCCTCTTTCAGGGGCCAGTGACCTTCGAGGAGGTGGCTGTGTATTTCACCAGGGAAGAGTGGGCTCTGCTGGACCCCCGTCAAAGAGCCCTCTGCAGAGACGTCATGCAGGAGAACTATGAGAATGTGACCTCGCTGGGTAAGAATTCCTGTGCCCTCGGTTATTAGAAGGGGAAATCAAGAGTTAAGGTTCATGCCACTCCCACAATGCCATCTCTACTCTGCCCTGTCTCAGCAACAGCCCATTGAATGCATTGAAATGGGGCAGACGAGGTCTCTCAGGGTTCACATGCACCTCCCTTCATATCACAGTCACAGCTCTGCCAAGCTGCTCCAACTACTCCCTTCACCATCCAGTTACAGCTTCAGCTGACCCACTGTACACAGCTTGAGGGCATGCCAATAAATGCTGGTATTCCCATCTCTGAACACAACGTAGTCCTTCATATCTATTGTAGAATCATAGATTTTTATGGCCAGAAAGGGCTATTAGGTCATCTAGTCTGACCTCCTGTATAACACATGTCATAGAATTTCATCCAGTTACTGCTGTACTGAGCTGAATACCTTGTGTTGGACTAAATCCTCCCCCAGAAAGGCATCCACTCTGACTTGAAGACTTCAAGAAATGGAGAAACCTCCACTTCCTTTGTTAGTTTGTTAACCTTTGCACCAGCCTTACTGAGCCATTCCCAGTGGCTAGTGCCAGCTGCAGGGCTAGGGGCAGAGTTAAGGTTGCATTTTAGGGATAGTGTGTATATTAACTCTTCCTTTTCTAGTTTTCAGAGGTTTAAGTTTAGCCACCACCCACCTAGTGGAAAGGCATGCAGCAGAACTGGGCAGCCTGTACTCAGCATTTACATAGTTTATGGGTATTTGATTCTCATTTATTTAATAGACTTTTTTGGCACTCTGTGTCTGCATGAGAGATTTTGCCGGCATAATTATGTCAATTAAGGATGTGCTTTTTCGCATCCCTAACAAACAGAGCTCTGCTGACAAAACTTTGCGGCTCAGAAGAGGCCAGAGTCTGCAAGTGGATTTTTAGAAATTAGAAATTAATGGAGATATCCCATCTCCTAGAACTGGAAGGGACCTTGAAAGGTCATCGAGTCCAGCCCCCTGCCTTCACTAGCAGGACCAAGTACTGATTTTGCCCCAGATCCCCAAGTGGCCCCCCTCAAGGATTGAACTCACAACCCTGGGTTTAGCAGGCCAATGCTCAAACCACTGAGCTATTTTAAAACACTTTAAAATATTGCTCTCAGCCCTGAAATTTTGGAATCAGGGGGAAAGGTCTAAGAGGAACTCCTTCAGAATGCAAGCAAAATGCACAATACACATAGTCTGAAAGTTAACAGTGGTACGGCTCCAACTCAGATGAATGAGTGTAGCTCAGTGGCAGTGGCCACAGCATGTCCTCTTGACCCAACCAACCAATGACTGAGAGCAGTGTGAGGTTCCTATTCAGGAGTTCTTGGGGAGTGTGGGGGAGAAGAGCAGGGAGCAGTGGGAGGGGAGAAGATGATGGGGGAGCTAGTGCTTGTGGGGTGCCACAAGATAGGGCAGGCTTTGTGTAGTGGGAGGAAAGGGATAGGTATGTGGAAGGCTGGAGGGTATCAGGGAAGGACGGGTACCATGGAAGGAAGAGGAAGTGAAGAATCAGACAGAATCTCCTGGGAACAGGGAGTGTGGTGGTTTGGGGGAATGGGAGACTGGGAATGGAGAAAAGGGGATGGAGGTCCCAGCAGTGGTGCTGTTGGAGAGGGAGGATTGGGTAGGAGATCTGGGATACTTGGAAGTGGAAAAAACTGAGGATATTGGGAAGGGGGTGGGGAGTGGTTGCTCCAAGGAGCAGGAAGGATCTGGTGGCAGTGGGAAGGGAAGGTTTCAGGGAGGCAGATATTTGGGGCCCTCCACTGAGAATATCCTTGCCAAAGTGTCTAATGAGTTCTCCCTAAGCAAAGCTCAGAACTAGTACTCCATCCTTATTCTTCTTGACCTGCCAGCCACCTTTAATACCACTGACCATGGTCGTCTTCTTGACAACTTGTCTTCTTTCTGGCTCTCCTCCTACCTCCGTAACTACTTCTTCAGTGTGTCCTTAGGAAGATCATCCTCACCCCCTCTCCAGTTTTCTGTGAGGGTTCTACAGGGCTCAGTCCTTGGTAACTTCCTCTGCACTTTATCTGTGGGAAATCTCACTCACAAACACAAATTCAGCTACTGTCTGTATGATGATGAATCACAGATCTACTGCACTACTCCAGACCTGTCTCCTTCTGTCCAAACTGAAATCTCAGCCTCCCTCTGATGCCTCCTTGTGGATGGCTAGCCATCAACTCAAGCTCAACAGCTCAAATGTTGATAACAGAGCTCTTAATCCCCCAAATCATCCCCCCCACTTAATTTCTTGCTGTTCACCCCAGAATTAGCTGATGGAATCTCAGAGCCTCTGGCAATATTTGCAAATTCAGATAACAGGAGAGGTCCCAGAAGATTGGAGAAGGGCTAACATAGTGCCAATCTTTACAAAGGGGAAAAAGGAGGAGCTGGGGAACTATAGACTAGTCAGCCTGACCTCAATACCAGGGAAGCTACTAGAGCAATGTATAAAACATTCAATTTGCGAATACCTGGAGGATGAAGGGGTAATCGGTAGCAGCCAGCCTGGATTTACTAAGAACGTAACATGACAAACCAGCTTGATATTGTTCTTTGATAAGGTAACGGGTTTGGTGGATAAAATAGACCTGGACTTCAGAAAGGCTTTTGACACAGTCCCATGAGTAAGCTGGAGAAATGCAGGAACTCCCATTAAGTGGATATAGAATTGATTACACAACCGCAAGCAAAGAGTAACTATGAACAGAATGAGATCAGATTGGAGGGATTTCTCAAATGGGGTTTCACAGGGATCTGTTTTCAGTCTGGCGTTATTTAACATCTTCATTAATGACCTGGATGTAAGAATAGAGAGCATACTGATCAAATTTGCAGATGACACAAAGCTGAGGGTGTGGGGGTTGTCAACACTTTGGAGGATAGAGCAAAACTTCAAAGGGATCGTGATAAATTGGCGAACTGGGCTATAGACAACAATGAAATTCAACAAAGACAAGTGTACGGTGCTACACTTCGGGAAGAAAAACCCAATGCACAAATACTGAATGGGGGATAACTGGCATAGCAGCAGCACCGCTGAGAAGGATCTGGGAGTTGTGGTGGATCACAACCTCAACATGAAGTCAACAGTGTGATAATGCATTAACAGAAGCATAGCATGCAAATCACAGGTGGTGATAGTACTGCTCTACTCAGCATTGGTTAGGCCTCAGGAGCAGTCCTGGGTCCAGTTTTGGTCACCAGTGACTAGACAGGATGTAGAGAAACTGGAAAGAATCCAGAGGCAAGTGACAAAGATGATCAAAGGGATGGAACGCAAACCAGTGAGCAAAGGCTGATGGAACTGCGTGTGTTTAGTTTGGGAAAAAAAAGTTAATAGGGAGGGATATGATAGCAGTCTTCAAATACTCGAAAGACTGTGTAAGTGTGTGTGGCTATCCCTCCTGGTCTATCTCTGAGGGAGGCCAGGCCTCCTCGCTGTCACGCTCTTAGCACTGCAATCAATTAAGGGGAATTAGCCATCTTCAAAGCTCAGGCCTCTTGATCCAGGCTGAGCAATAGTTAGTCTATAGTTAGTACCCGGCCCTCAGGCAGGACTGGCCACCTACAGTCAGTACTCAGGCCTGCAATCAGGGCAGAGCTGCAAAGTCTCCAAGCCCAGGTCCTCAGGCAGGGTGGGGCAGCAAACAATTAGGGGCTTTGCCCAGGGTGAGTACCAAACAGTCTAGGGCTCAGGCAGGGGCAAGAACCGAATAGTCTAGTGTCCTAGCTCAGCGGACGGTAGACCAACACAGGCCTCCTGGCTGAAGGTGGGGAGGCTACCGCCCCATCGGCAAGGTGGCAGGAGGTAGGGAGACCCAGGCCCATCTGACTCCACCGGGACCCAGCCCCGGGCCCTAACAGTGGCAGTGTAGTCTGCCACTGGATCAGTGGGGATCCGCCCACAACACCCTTACTTAGTGTCAGGCCAACACTCAACCAGACAACAGTCTAGTTTCCCTTGGCTACTTCCTACAATCCCCAGGGTTTGGTACCTCTGGCCTCCATTTCCCCAGGGTCAGTGGTCTGTGGCAGCCCCATCAGCTTGTTGGCACCTCGACTGGCTGGCAACCCTGGGAGCTCTGGCCAGTCCTCTGGCGGCTGCCCCAGCAAGTCCTCGGTGTCCCACTCCGGCAGTGGGTGATAAGCATCTGTCTCCCTCAGCAGCTCCAGCCCAATTGAGCTGCAGGGCCCTCTTTTTGTAGTTCCACTTCCTGTCCCGTCCTTCAGCTTCCGGAGGGGTGGAGGTGGCTTTCCTGGCTCTGACGAAGTGGGTATTCACCCACGAAAGCTTGTGCTCCAATACATCTGTTAGTCTTAAAGGTGCCACAGGACTCTCTGTTTCTTTTTCCTGGCTCTGTAGCCCAATGGGCGGGTTGTGGTCCCTGCTGGTCTTCCCCGCTACAGGCTGCTATACAAAGGATGGAGAACAGTTCTTCTTTCTTGTCACAGAAGGCAGGACAAGAAGGAGTGGGTTCAAACTACAGCACAGCAGATTTAGATTAAATCTCAGGAAAAAACTTCCTAACTTGAAGAACAGTAGGACAATGGAACAGATGCCTAGGGAGGTGGTGGAAGGTTATTCACTGGAGGTTTTCAAAAGGAGGCTGGAGCCATCTGTCTGGTGGTTTAGTCACAGCAAATCCTGCACCTTGGCAGGGGGTTAGACTAGATGACCTTTGTGGTCCCATTTAACTCTATGATTCTATGGGGAACTGGGGTTTGCCCTTGGAAAAAGCCAAACCTAGCATGTCGCCCATTAAAGGTATGTCTGCACTGCGTCTGGAAGCTGCCTCCCAGCCAGAGTCCATGCTGACTCACTACAAATAACGGTGTAGGTGCTGTAGATTGGGCTGTACCTTAGGTTCTAAAGCCAGGGGTTGAGGGGGGGTGTGGGCTGGATGGTCTGAGCTCCATCAAAGCAATGTCTCCACAGCCATTTTTAATGCACTAGCACGAGACCCAGCCTGGAAGGCGGCCGACTCCCTGATGCACTGTAGACATACCCTAAAGAGGGCAGTCCCAAGGGAGACTGTATGAAGGCTGGGTCATCTAACTCCCTGTAAATCCATGGCCCAGCCACCTCCCTTGGAACCCTGTCACCGTGCCTTAGTGGGTCACAACTGAGGATGCCAAATTCAGGACGAACTGCTGAGAAATATGGCAAACACAACCCAAAACTAGTGGTTATTCTTTTATAAGATAGACCAAACCAGCCACAAAAGTCAACTCCTGTTTCACCACACTGCATAACAAGAAAACATAAAGGCAGTTTTCTCAGGCATTCCAGTTCTTATAACACCAGCAAAAACACTGGATTCAGAGATGAGTGGTTCTTTACAACCAGTGTCATTAAATAATAGGTTCTTCTGATCCCAAAGGGCCAGCCACTCCCAGATCAATATACAACTTAGATCTTACCCAAAAATCACACTGGTGCCAATCCTTTAGTATCTAAAATCTAAAGGTTTATTCATAAAAAGAAAGAAAGGTAAGAGTTAAAATTGTCTAAGGGAATCAATTACATACAGTAATGGCAAAGTTCTTGGTTCAGGCTTGTGGCAGTGATGGAATGAACTGCTGGTTTAAGTCAAGTCTCTAGAGTTCATCCACAGCTTGGATGGGTCATTCAGTCTTTTGTTCAGAGCTTCAGTCTGTAGCAAAGTTCCTCCAGAGGTAAGAAGCAGGATTGAAGACAAAATAGAGGTGTTTCCAGGGCCTTTTATAGTTTTTGCCATGTGGAGGGCATCCCATTGTTCTTACTGTGGAAAATTACAGCAACAAGCTGGAGTTTGGAGTCGCATGGGCAAGTCACATGTTCATGCCCAATTTCCCTCAGTCATTGCAGGAAGCCTACATTCCAGACAGCACATTTACATGACAGTCCACTCAGTGTAGATGGGCTTCTCCAATGGTCCATTGTCAACCAAGTGTGTCTTGATGAACCACTTAATTTGAACAGTCCCTCCAAGATGTGCTAGCTAGCTACCTTGTGGGTGTTACCCTGTTATGCTTATAAGAAGCACAAGGTATCTTTTTCACAGGAAAAGGCAATACACCACATTTATTGAAGATAAAACAATTGGCATATACATTCAATCACACACACACACACACACACTGTCCCGCCAGTTGATGTTATAGTTACCAGTCCGGATCAACCTAGTGGCCAGCTAGGTTGATCATGGATAGGAGGAGCTGAGTTCCGTCGGTCACGACATGATCCTCTGGGGAAGTCTTGGCAGAATCAACCCAAAGTTTCATGGCAAGGCACCCAGTTTATATACTGATTTTCCTTCATTGGGACCAATGAGTTTTGCACCGTCATGCTGTAATCAATTGTTGTTTGACGAGTGCTTATTTTCTTAAATTGTCCTTCTCATCCTTTATCTTTATCTTTCATCAAGTTCCTCAGGGAGTTATCCCATGCTGGTTTTGATCACAGCTATCTTGTCCCCACTGATAGGTGCCTGTCTCATCTTTAGAGTCGTCAATCTGCCCTCCTGTGACATTTCAATAGGGGTGTGTTGCAGCCTCCTGGCACCCTTGCATCTGTCTCCAGTTCCTCCCTTGTACATCTGGCTCAGTGATGGCCTTCACACTTATCTCTTAACACACACATTCCTCATTCACACACAAAACAGAATTAATTTACACAGAACATTTTGAACAGGAACATCAAATTGCAATGCAAAAGAAAACAATCATGGCATTCTTTTACTTATTTGAAAATGCTAAACCTACAATAAATTGGTTATCCTCGAAGGTCTGTTACTGCCTTGAAAGCAGTCCAGACCCACCTTCTGGCTGATGTATCTCTACCCATTGGCCCATTAGGCCATTCCTTTCTCTTATTCAAAAAGGGGGGTGGCAGGATATGATCAAATCATACACCAATACATTTAATACATGCTACATTCTTATTCTTTATCCTTCATTCTAAATTATATAAAATACAAACATAAAATTCTACTACTACATATGGGGGAAGAGTTTGGGGGAGCTCAGTTCCTGGTCTTTATTTGACCTCTCTACAGCACTTGTGTTGATTTGGCCTTCCCCTTTCCATCCCTGTTTGAGGTTTCTGTCTCTATCACAGCAGGTGATGCAATGGTATGTGACAAAGAGGAACAGAATTCTCAGCAGGAAAATGTTGAGCAAGTGGATAAACACAGAGCATTATCGCAAAGATTGAAAAGGAATGTGTCCAGGAGTCATGAGCAGGGAAAATCCTGTGAGATTCAGCACAGACCAGAAAAAAAGCAGGGAAACGAGCCAGGGGAGAAAGTGGGTAAATGTATTTCCTGTCGGGGAACTCAGAAGGACCTCAAGGAAACCACAACCCCGCAGGAAATCCTCATGGGAAAGAGAAAAAATACATGCACTGAGTGTGGGAAAAACTTACGTGACTACTCAGCCCATATAAAGCATCAGAGAATCCTCACAGGGGAGAGGCCCTATGAATGCACTGAATGTGGAAAACTCTTCACTAAGAGTTCAGGCCTTTCTGAACATCAGCGAATCCATACAGGGGAGAGGCCCTATGAATGCAGTGAATGTGGAAAACGCTTCACTAAGAGCTCAGCCCTTTCTGAACATCAGAGAATCCACACAGGGGAGAGGCCCTATAAATGCCGTCAATGTGGAAAATGCTTCACTAACACCTCAGGCCTTTCTAAACATCAGCGAATTCACACAGGGGAGAGACCCTATGAATGCAGTGACTGTGGAAAATGCTTCACTAAGAGTTCAGCCCTTTCTGAACATCAGAGAATCCACACAGGGGAGAGGCCCTATGAATGCAGTGAGTGTGGAAAAACCTTCAATCGCAGCTCAAACCTTATTACCCATCAGACAATCCACACAGGGGAGAGGCCCTATAAATGCCATGAGTGTGAAAAATGCTTCCTTAGCAGCTCAGCCCTTTCTAAACATCAGAGAATCCACACGGGGGAGAGGCCGTATGAATGCAGTGAATGTGGAAAATGCTTCACTAACACCTCAGCCCTTTCTGAACATCAGAGAATCCACACAGGCGAGAGGCCCTATGAATGTCGTGAGTGTGGGAAAACCTTCAATCGCAGCTCAAACCTTATTACCCATCAGACAATCCACACAGGGGAGAGGCCCTATAAATGCCGTGAGTGTGGAAAATACTTCACTAAGAGCTCAGCCCTTTCTGAACATCAGAGAATCCACACCGGGGAGAGGCCCTTTGAATGCCGTGAGTGTGGAAAATGCTTCACTAACACCTCAGCCCTTTCTAAACATCAGAGAATCCACACAGGCGAGAGGCCTTATGAATGCCGTGAGTGTGGGAAAACTTTCAATCGCAGCTCAAACCTTATTACCCATCAGACAATCCACACGGGAGAGGCCCTATAAATGCCGTGAGTATGGAAAATACTTCACTAAGAGCTCAGCCCTTTCTGAACATCAGACAAACCACACAGGGGAGAGGCCCTATACATGCTGTGAGTGTGGGAAAACCTTTTCTTGGCACTCAGCCCATGTTAGCCATCAGAGAATCTGCAAGGGAGATCAACACCATAAAACCCTCTAAGGCTATTAATACTTTTTTACTTTAATATTTTTCCTGATTCCCACATAGTAACTTTTAAAGCTGCTTGAACTGTTTGCAGCGCCGTTATCCCTCAGCTTGTCCAGTTGAGTGGTCCATTTGAAGTTTACCCTGTTTTGAGGTTGACCCATTTGTCCTTTCTATCAACTCAGTTGTCCCATGAGTAATTCGAGTGTGCCCTTCCTATCAGGAGCCAGAGAGCATCACATTTATACTGTTCCTCCTATTGCCAAGTTATTGTTAGAATCACCAATGATACAGATTGTACCATTGCCAGTTGTTCTCACGTTGCTCTGGGTTGTGCTGAAGAGCAGTTGTATTGGGACCTTTTAAAATTATATTTAAATGAAGAGGAGCAGGGGCAGGAAAAAAAGTGTAATTTCAGCCTCTGTGACACTGGAAGGAGATGGAGTGACTCAGACATTCCCTCCTTCCCCATCACTGCAGAATGGTTACCTTTTGTCTGAGCCATGCAGAGTTTATCTTCATCACATTCTGTCCATCCACTTCTCAAAGTGTCATGTGATGTAGCGTTCTCAGTTGTCTGTGCTTGGAGATGATACTTTGACTTCTTTAATCCTATATCAGAGTCGCTATGACTGGAGATGAAAGTGTTAAGGGGAATTCAAATGGATCCCAAACACAGTGTGATCATTTGGAGTTTAAGTCCCAGGTTTCATCTACTGGTAAAGCCACTTCTGGCAAGGTGGCTGTTTTTTCCCCATTATGCAAATGCTAGGATAATAAAAATGTTGTAAAAACATAACTGACTATTGAGACAGTGCTGAGTGAAGTATGTTTGAATGGATCAGAGGATAATGTGATGGGAGACTCTCTTGCCCTGATTCTGAATAATCAGATGTAACCTGCTCTTGAATTTCACTTGACACTTTCATTGTCATTTATTCTCTCTCTCTGTGATGTGGGTTTCTATCTTTCCTGAAGGCTGTTTGGTCACCCAATTGAATATTAGTTCGGTTTGATAGGATGTAGCTCAGATTTATTGGAGAATTTAAAACAAATGTCTGTTCGCTAAAGTCATGATTTCTCACTTCACCTTTGCTTTTCCCCCATCCCTCCATGTTGATATGGAGAAAGTTCAAGTGCAGTTCTGTCAACAGGAGAGAACTTTCCAATTTACTGGACATGCTAACAAAGAAAAAGTGATGATTTAAAATCTTGAATCAGAAATAGTGAACAACAGCAGAACCCCAACTAACTGAAGGAAGTGCATATGATCACAGCGTAGTTCAATTATTGAAGTCAATATTGTCTTAGATGATCTGGGGAGAGAATTCCATGGTAAGTGATTTTGAACTAGGCAAAATCCCCATTTTATTTTATTCCCAAAGCATTTGTAACCCAGGCCCTACAGAAGATCTCTCCTAGATAATCTTATGTTATGGGAGATGCTGCCCTTCATGACACAGATGTTGAGGAAATAGAAGTGGGGGTTTTGTTGGATTTATCCTTTTTAGGTGCTAAAAATGTGTATAAAATGAAATCAGTGTGGGAAATCAAATAGCTTGAGAAAAATAGCTATTTTTAAATAGAAATTCTATCTCTAGTGGCTAACAGAGTTTCTGATTCAGCCCTGTATCCAGTCCTTTGCCTGGAACTGTGTCACCAAAGTAAAGAAAAGCTGGGCATGTTTCGGGAAGCCATTCCTCACTAACACTGCTGAGATTTGGAGTGGTTTTGTAAAGGATTCTACTTCAGAGAAGTGTAAATTTACCCTAACCAAGGCCAAAGATTTGGAAAGAACTGGGGTTGAAAGAGTACACACTCAGTTCTTGGTTTCCACCCCAGTAAAGGAAGCTATGGTGACAAATGACCCAAGGAAAATGGTTTGTAGAATTCCACTTACCAGTTCAGTGTCACTGATTACAGTTCCAAAGGATACCAGGGTTAGATTGGGAACAGTCATCCTTCACCGTTTCGATCCAAAGAGAGAGTGCTTCATAGGACATTCCTTCCGCGTGGATCCCAAACTGGCTGCCTGATTGGGTAACAAGGACTTTCAGGCTGTAGAAATGATGGTAACCAACGAGGCAATGAATGTGTCAGGCTACAATTTCAGACTTCCAGATTCACACATGTTGAGTCCTGATTCTATGGTTTTGTGTCTGATGCTATGGCTACACAATAAAGCTGATGTTGGCGCAGCTGCACCAATGTAGCTGCGCTGCTGTAGCACTGCTATTACAGATGCTCTAAGCCAATGGGAGAGATCTCTCCCATCTGACTTGATTAGTCCAGCCCCTGCAAGCGGTGGTGGCTATATTGGCAGGAGAAGCTCTCCCACTCATGTAGCGCTATCTACAAAGGGGGTTAGGGCTGTGTAACTACGTTGCTCAGCTGTGTGGATTTTTCACACCCCTGAGTAATATTTTTATACCAATTTTTTTTAGTGTAGACCAGACCGTTTTCTCTTGTGTTCTATGCATTTACATCACTTGTCCTCTCCCTCATCCTACTTTGAAAGATTAAAAAGTGTGAAAAGAGAGGTATTTTTCTCCATGATGCAAACACACCCATATAGGAGACCCCTTCCACCAACATACATGGCAGAAGAACCAGAGATATAAGAACTCACAGAAGTGGTTGGGACCTATGTTGGGACAAACCACAACTTGAGCCAAGGTTCAGTTGTTGGCAATGGAGATTAAAAGAAAACTAACATATATCACAAGAATTTGTGATCTTTGAATATGTTATTGGTACCAATGAATATTAAATTATAGGTGAAATTATTGGTTAAAGAGTAAGAGACTGTGTGACAATCTGAATTATTTTGGAAAGTTGTCTTGCTTTTTGTTTTGTTAGTCATACAGGAAATGATGGCTAATCTTGAAAAGTTGATTTAATTTACTCCCTGTAGTGTAAGGAATTCTGGTAGAAAACTTCACTCCAAACGTTGGGGTGGGAGAATGTGTGTGAGAAAGAGTGTATAAGAGAATATTGGCCCAGTATAGATTTTAATTTTTTGTATTTTCAAATAGAACTTATTTTGCTTAGTTTCAAAGTCAATTTCTATTAAAAGGAAAACTACTCGAGGAGATAAATTGTATAAGTTTTTACCCACTTAGACTGTAAGGGTCACTAGCTTCCCCACTTCTCTAATTTGCAAAGGAAAGGCATGACATCTATCATAGGATGTGTCCAGTATATAGGAAAGCTGCAATCATCAACCATCAGTATGAAAGAAAAGGCTGAAGTCCATTGCCTTTCAGGTCAATAAGCCATCTAAAGGCTGGTCTATGCTGAAAAGCTATGCTGGCATAGCCACATCTCTCAGGGGTGTGAAAAGTCCACTCCACTGAGAGAAGTAGTTAATGTGACCTGAGCCCCAGTGTAGACAGTGTTATGTTGTCAGAAGTATATTTCCAGTGTTTGAAGTGTAGACATAGCCTTAGACAGATTGATCCCCTATGGGAAGCGAGTCATGACATCAATTCCAATTTTGACCCATCTCCCTATATGTGAGAAAGCTACTAGTATGGAGGGCTGAGCCAGCTGTCCGATCGCCTGGTTCCTCAACTGAAGCTACAGCTCTTAGTGCCCATGAATGCAAAGACTGAGAGTGGGGTGTGAAATAACTGGATGAAACTGGCTGCCTGAGCCCAGCCTAAGTGAGTAAATCCTCAGAAATCTCACCCCTGGGTTTGTAATGTCAGGCTCCAGAAAACAAGTCCCTCTGTGTGTGAAGGGAGGGGCTGTGAGGATGTGGTCACCTCTAGGCAGCAGGAGCCCCCTGACATGGGAGTTGATCTGCCCCCTCCCCCCAGGTGCCCTAGAGCCCAGCATGAGGCTGCTGTCCCTGCAGGGTCCCTGGGAGTCACAAAGGGGTGATGTGAAGTTACTGACCCATCAGTTCTGGGGTGGGGGACTGGAGCCCCCAGAACAGCCCTGTGGGGACTCAGCCCTATGGGGAATTCACTGTCTGTAAAAAAGCACATCTAGGAATGGGGATTCCCAGCTGCATTAAAGTGGCATGAAGGTGAAGAAAGAGTTAATACTTTAGAAAAGTCTGGGAGCGCTGGATGTGAAGGAGGGTGCCCACCTCTCAGTCTGCAGAATGGCCAACCCCAAATGTTCAAAAACCCTGAGTCAGGCTCACCAAAAATCATGAGATTTGCTTTAAAATCATGTGATTATGTAAAAATAAATTTGGGAATCTTTTTATTTGCCTTCTGTTTGATGAGCCTTTAGGGCGCACTGGTGTCACATTTTGAATTTTTCTCCACAGCTACAAGGGCGAGAAAGGTACTGTGTCTTTAAGAGCAAAGGCTGAAATCATCACATCTCCACTTGACTCCAGGAGCTGGGACTTTAAGGAAAACAATAACTCTCATGAGACTCAAGGCAAAATCACTGGCGTTGGCAGCACTGAGTTGGATTGAGTCTTTATTCTCCGGGATTGCCTGGAGCAGGGGGTTCCCAGCCTTTTTCTTTCTGTGACCCGCCCCCCAACATGATATAAAACCTCCACAGCCCACCTATGTGACAAAAACTGTTTTTCTGCATGTCCAGTAGATTAAAAGCCAGGGCTGTCGGTAAGAGGTGGCCAGCAGAGCAATTGTGCAGGGCCCCACAACACAGGGGCCCCCATGAAGTTAAGTTGCTTTGGCTTCAGTCCCAGGTGGTAGGACTCAGATTTCTGCCCTGAGCCCCAGTGAGTCTAAGGCCGGCCCTACTTTCTGGTTTATTTTGGTGGACCCCTCCCCCCCAAAACCAGCTCGCTGCCCCCCAGGGGGCCCTGGATCCCTGTCTGAGAACCACGGCCTTGGAGCTCTGTTTAGAAGAAGGGAGCAAAGCTGCTGCCTTTCCTGATGGCTGAACTCAGGCCCCTAGAGTGGGATATCCAAGCTCTGCCAGCTCTACCCCTGGAAAGCTCACTGAGTAGCTGCCTGTCCTCAGGGACAGTTTAAGCCTGCCGGGCCCTGGGGGCAATGAAGCAGCTGGGTCAGGGTGGGAACCTTCATTCCCAGAGAGCTGCCCGAGCTCCCTTCTCAGCAGCAAAGAAGTCAATTCCCCCCACCCCTGATGAATCAGCCTGGAGCCACATGCAGAGCTGGGGGTTTCTCCTTTCACTCCTGCTGCGGAGTGCCGAGGTCCCAGGGAGCATTTCTAGCAGAGCATTTGGAATTGAACTGGGGGAATCAGCCTTTCAGAACAGAACACTCATGTTCAGATGACATCTTTATATACAGTTTTTTATAATATGATACAATCCTAGTGTCACCATCGATAACATGGCTTGTTCAACCTGGTGGGATACCAAGGGTAAAACTAACCAGCTCTTCAAATCCAAGAGCGTGGAGATAAATCACTTCTCAAAGTCAATGCGGGGTAATCAATAGGCAGACGGAAGGCCAAATCGCTTTTGAATGGATCCCAAAATCTTTTTATTTACTTATTATTATCATTATTATTTTTTATTATTATTAATGTTGGAGTCTGGACCTTGATAAGACCTTGACCAACAAACCTTGACAAAAAATAATGGATTACCCCCAAGAATGGGGTTGTCTTACTTTCCTTATGTCCTCGGTGCATCTTGTGGCCATTTCCTTTCCCTCCTTTTGGTGAAAAGCTTTGGGATTTTGTGTAGAAACTTTATTTCCTTGGGAGAGACCCAGGAGCGGGGGCTGCCTGCATGTACCAAGCACCCACTAGATTAGAAGGTGACCGACAAACACCCTTAAGATGAGGCAGACATCCCTGTCAAAAAAATTATCTCCCATCTTCACTTGAGTGACAGCCTGAATCGTTCCTTATCTGGGCAGAGCCCAAGGATTGGCAACAGCAGCAACAAAACCATCTGTATGTAGCAGGAACCAACCCAAAATGTGCTTTAAAAGGAGCTGTCTCCTTCCTTCTGGGGTAAAATTTGTCATTATGGTCATTGATTTTCATGTCCCTTCTCTGAGGGCAGAGATGGGGTTGGCACTACCTCAGGCTGGGATATAGAGCCTATGTCCCCATCTGTCAGTCACTCTGGGAACCTGTCTCTGCTCACAGCTGACAGGCTGCCTCTGGCCTCTCCAGCCAGCTCCTTAGTGCTGGGGGGAGGGGGAGTGAGTCATTTGGCAAGCAAAAGTGGCACATAGGAGAGGCATTTTTGCTAGAAGCATTGGTATAGTGGTGAGCATAGCTGCTTTCCAAGCAGTTGACTTGGGTTCAATTCTCAGCCGTTGCAGTGATGTGATGTTTTCTCCGCTGGGCATTGGTTTAATTTCAGTCACATTGTATCAGTTTATCAATGGAATGAGAGAATCAATGTCCCAAATCCCAGCAGGTCATTGGAGGAAAAAAGGGGCGAAACTATACAATGAGCAGTTGGAGTCATCCTGGTATTACAATGTTTGGTTAATATTTAAAAAAAAATTCCTTTACTTCCCTCTTCCTTTTAGACTCAGAGCCTTTAAGGTCAGAAGGGACCAGTGTGATCATCTAGTCTGACCTGCTGCACCTTGCAGGCCAAAAGACCCCACCCACCCACTTCTGTAATAGACCCAGGAGGGGAGGCAGCTCTGTGCACTGCCCCTACCCCAGGCAGCACATGGAGGCCCTCTGCTCCCCTCCCCCAATGGGTGTGCAGAGATGTGCCAGCAGCACGAAGGTGGCTCCCTGCTCACTCTACCTCCATCCCTCTACAATAACTACACTACAGAAACTCTGTCACAGTGCTCTGCCCCTCCCTTCTTAAGAACATAAGAATGGCCTTACTGGGTCAGACCAAAGGTCCATCCAGCCCAGTATTCTATCGCCCAGCAGTGGCCAATGCCAGGTGCCCCAGAGGGAATGAACCTAACAGGTAATGATCAAGTGATCTCTCTGCTGCCATCCATCTCCACCCTCTGACAAACAGATGCTAGGAATACCATTCCTTACCCATCCTGGCTAATAGCCATTAATGGAGTTAACCTCCATTAATTTATCTGCAAAAAGAATGAGGAAACTGACAAATTTATTTGAGCATAAGCTTTTGTGGGCTAAAACCCACTTCATTGGATACATGCAAGGGAAAATACAGTAGGAAGATAGATATATACACAGAGAGTGATCAGTTAAGGTGAGCTATTATCAGCAGGAGAAAAAAACCTTTTGTAGTAATATTCAGGATGGCCCATTTCCAGCAATTGACAAGAAGGTGCGAGTAATAGTAGGGGGGGAAATAAACATGGGGAAATAGTTTTACTTTGTGTAATGACTCATCCACACCCAGTCTTTATTCATGCCTAATTTAATGGTGTCCAGTTTGCAAATTAATTCCAATTCAGCAGTCTCTTGTTGGAGTCTGTTTTTGAAGTTTTTTTCTTGTAATATTGTGACTTAGGTCTGTAATGGAGTGACCAGGGAGATTGAAGTGTTCTCCTACTGGTTTTTGAATGTTATAATTCTTGACGTCTGATTTGTGTCCATTTATTCTTTTACATAGAGACTGTCCGGTTTGGCCAATGTACATGGCAGAGGGGCATTGCTGGCACATGATGGCATATATCATATTGGCAGATGTGTAGGTGAATGAGCTTTGATAGTGTGGCTGATGTGATTAGGTCCTATGATGGTGTCCCCTGAATAGATATGTGGACAGAGTTGGCAATGGGCTTTTTCGCAAGGGTTAGTTTTTTTGTTGTGTGATTGCTGGTAAGTATTTGCTTCAGATTGGGGAGCTGTCTATAAGCGAGTACTGGCCTGTCTCTCAAGATCTGTGAGAATGAGGGATCCTTGATGATGAGCTGGAGAGGTTTTAGTTGGGGGCTGAAGGTGACGGCTAGTGGT